TCAAGTGAAGCGTTCAAGAAGATTAGCAGCTAGGAACTATATGCAATCCATGTCCCTCTACCTGTCCAGATGTAACAGAGCAACGACAGTCTAGTATTTATGGTTTTTTTTCATCTTTACCACATTTCACAGCTCCCACTTACTCTTTCTGTATTTCTTGACCAGAAATACAGAAAGCTACAGCAGCAACACTTTGAGACACCACAGCTATGCAATCCCAATTTTCCAACAGCTGAAAATTAAGTCAAATAAACCAAAGATCAAAGATACAGTATTTTTTTTTCTACATGATTCACTCTCACTTCTTTATGAAAGCAGATGGTGTGAGACATGGTATATTATTAAAACACTATACATCAGTATCCTGAATTTCAGCTGTGCTTTGTCCAGCCCTCAGCACAGTCTGTGCGATCAGTCACCAACAAGATTTCCAAGCCTGCACTTTCCCTCACTCCAGTGTGTTTTACCTATTAGCAATAAATATTGTGCTTTAATATCTCCCTAGGCTCCATGACAAAGTACTAAATATGATCTTGCAGCTCAGATAAAATTTTAATAAACACATTCCTAACTATTTTGCTATTGGCACCATGCACAATGCTGTTCTTTCAGTATTACACTCGCATGTCTAGAGGTCTGAATAGAAACTTGAGAGATTACTTTAATTTTTACAATAAATAATTAGCAAGCTTGACCAAAAATTTATGCATATGAGTGCTGATATGTGCACATTCACTCATACTATATTTGGTAAGACCAAATCAAAATACCATAAATCATCATTATCTTCAGCCAAGATGTTTTACATATGCTGTTTGTTCTCTTTCCAAAGAACAGTAGTGCTAAATGTCAGAGGAGCAAAACCAACTCCCACACAACTTCAGATGAACACTGTAGCTCTCTGAATTTCTTGAGAAGCTGAAGGAAACAGCACAGCAAGGTTTTCAATCTAACAACTGCATGAAGGAGGGGAAAAAACATCCCCCCAAGGGAAACTATTAGGTAATGTTTTTCTCAACCTTTGAAATCCTTCTGCGTAAATCAGTATTTTATCATAACATTATATAATGAGAAATTGCTTTTCTGAGTTTTTTATTACAGAGTAGAAAATAAGAAAAGAATAAAAAACTTGGTAAACACTGACAGGTTTATCTACAACAGTAATTCTGTTTTTAATTTTTAAAAATTTTTAACTAAATAAGGATGAGGCAATTATTATGCTTAATCCAAATGCTATTCTAGCATTCATCATTGTTTCAAGGTTCACATTTCTATCACCAAAGTAAGCATATTACTTTCGCCTTCTGCTATCCTTGTTTCTAGTGTGCCACAAGGCAGCAAATAAACACCTGATGCTACTTTATGAGCTTTAATCATCTGGTCCATTGTGATTTTGGGGGTTAATTTCTATGCTAAAACTTTATTCATAACAATTCTAAAGAGAACAGAAGTATTTTCTTAAACTCCCCAAACATATGAATCATTAAACAAACATCTCTGAGTAAGGCACAACCCAGCAGGGCTGCTACACATCCACACTTCCTCCAATATTAACATTTTAATAGGTGATGACTGATCTTAACATTACAAATTCATATATACAGAGGCCACACAGCAGTAAGCAGCCTTCACTGCATGTAATAAGTGAACAGCGTTTATCAAAGCAAAATTCTCTCTTGATCCTTTTCTTGGGAAATTAAGTAGAGAAAAATTTTAATCGTCTCAGTAGTGACACATACTCCAGAAAATATGACAAGCCAAAACTAACCTGCTTGCCTCATATGCCAAGTTAAAGGCAGGACTGGTAAAAGAAATAGATTGGGAATAAAATTAAATTTTTCATGAGCAGAAAGCTTTAAAAAAACCCCAAAACTACCAACCTCTTCCCCAAGACCACCAACAAAAACTATTAAAAAACCCTACCTTACATGGCATGCCGATAAACTAAAAGAGCTTTAGAAAAAGCCTCCTGTGTAAGTGTGCTTTGAGAAGGTGTAGAGGAAAAGGGAACATAAAGAGAATTGAATTCTATAATCCAGTGCCAGAAAATACATCAGGGCATAGTTTTATTCTGCCTACTCACCCCTCTCATCTCTATGACCCCCAGAAGGTAGGCATTTGAAGACATGGTCAATTAATCTAATTAGCTGTATTTGCATTTTGACTCAGCCACTTGCATCTGCTACAGCAGACATCCCACCATTCCCTCCTGAGAAATCCAGCAATTTGTTTCCTTTTAAGTTTGGTCTAACAGCCAGTAGTTTTTTTAGCTGTTGGGTACAGGTGGCTCTTAGCATGTCTTAAATACCATCTCCAAATCACTTTGTATTGTCTTGTAACAACTTTTGTGAACAAAATTCAGTACAAGTACTTACAGAATATCAGCAAGTGCAAAAGTCTTAGAAAACAGTAGGGACAAGGCCAAAAAACACTAGGAAGGAAGATTCTTCTGCCTTAAGAGTCAACAGGACAAAAAAGTTATGTGCCAACAGTGATTAGAATTTCCACAAAGTAAGGACTGCAAAATTATTTGGGATCAAGGCTCACAATATTAGCAAAGAAAATGTGCAGAGAAAACATAATGTGATGACTACTTCTGCTAAAAATCTCTTGATAGTGAAAGCAGGGGAAAGTATGGTTCTCATGGTACCCCTGCAATAGCATCATGAAAAACTACAAGTTCTAAAACCCCCACCTACACACAGACATTTTTCTTTTAACATAAATCACATAAATTAAACTAGTGGCTCACCCGCATATCAATAGTAAAATTAAAACCTAAGTTTTAATTGCTGACATGCAAATCTTACTCCGATTTAATCATACCAGTATAATAAAAATCACTGTGCTGTTTACTTTGGAACTTCTCCAGCTGTTGGCCAAATAATAACTTACTTGCTTTGAAGGTTTTCCTTAAAGCTATATGCCTGTAAAAATTCTTCCTTCTTCCATCCCCAACTGTAGATCTAGCAGCTGTAACAACAGCTGGGCAGATTAGCAACTGTAAAAGACAAATGCCAATTTCTAGAAAAGGGCTTTCCAGTAAAAGAAAATAGGGTCTGTAGCAAGTTTCTGAAGGCTCCCCAACTATAAGGTTTTACTCTGTAACTTGGCACCAGCTGGAGAGCAGCCTCCTACTCTGTGCTTCTGCTGAACTCACCAGGCAGATTCCTGATGCCGTCTCTCATTCAGTTTTGACAGGGAAAAGTAATTTTGCTGTTGCAGAAAAAACAATGTCCTACCATGCTATTTTATTAATTATTTGTGTTGATACTCTTTTTAGTATCAAGACTTATTAAAAGCAAAGCTTCAATATCAGACAATAACTAGAAACACATCTAGTATGTATCATGTCACCAAGATGGAGCTGACTCAAAATTCTGCATGTCTTATACAGAGACCACCCATTTGAAACAGAATGATCCAACTACAATATGAAAACAAGCCTTCTTGTATCAAAACCCTACCACGGGAGTGGGTTTAGTTGTCAGAAAAGAGAAGCGGAAACAAAAAATCCTAAACTTGTTCATAATGATCCTTAGGGGTCCTTTTAGCTTTCTCAAGTCATTTATAATTGGTGTATGTTAGAGGAGTCTAAAAATGTCTCTAGATACTTGTCTGATCTAAATTTATTAGGATAAGAACATTTGTAGCTTCTGTTGACTTTAATTGCAGTTGTGAGCACTAAGCTGCTCACAATATGCAGCCCACTTATTTCAGCATCTAAGTATAGGTTGTGTACCAGCCCAGAAGAATTGCTAATTGGAAACACTGCTCCTGGTGCCAAAGTTGAAGCTGAATGCTGAAGAGAATCAAACACTGCTTATTTGATTTGCTGTCTTTATCCTCCTCCTCTTCATCTCCACAACTCATGGGGAGTTTTACAAAATTGTTCAGCCTGTAAAGTAGCAGAAAGAAACTTGCAAAGAAACCTCCTTCTGGAAAAAAAAACCATAAAATAAGAGCATTATGAACAATACCAAACAAAATCAACCAACCTTCCTGGGAACAAAACTGGCAGAAATGCCAAGGAATGCAACAGAGAAATGTAGTTCTTAAAAAAAATAAACTTGAAGTACATTTTAAGTACATTTTAAGTACCATGTACTGTTTTGCTACACAGTGTAACATACTCTGCAAATAACCACAGCAGTGATGGAAAAATATATGAAAAAAGTCAGGGGAGATTTTATTACTTGAACAAACCATGCCAGGTTCTGCTTTTTCAAAAAAAGTCTAAGAATTTCAATGCAGAAACAGGTTATGACCAACTGATCACAGAATTCAAGGAATTACTTAAACAGGTTTTACAATAGGTACAATAATTGATTGTGAAGGTATGGAAATGTAATACCCTGAAAGTTCACCCAGAGCATCCTCCTCTTATTGCAAACATGCTGGCAAGGCACATGTTCTACTTCATGACACACACAGTAATGATCTGCTACAAGCTGTAATTGTTCCTGCACATGTACAGAAGAATATTGTGCTGTATCCCCAGGAAGACACCGTGTGCTAGAAAGGGCAAAATGTACAGCTGAACACTGTGAGTCTTAATAGGAGCTGTAAGAAAAAGGAGGAAGAAATTAGTACTTACCATCTGTACCATTACCAATACAAAAATGAATTCCCTTTGGCTGGAAAAGTATTCACAAATGCTAAATTCTCACCATATGCACTCTATTCATCTCAAAACCTTTTGATCATGCCCTCCTAGCAGTAACAAAATTTTTGAGCATGCATCCCAAAACACATAGGTTTATTTCTTTATAAAATATACACACGTATGACTGAAGTTGCAGTATTTTCATCCCACATACCAATGGATCATCTCACACACCCCACTTTGGAGATCACTGCTGTAATGAACAGAATCAGTGCCAGCAAAACAAACATCTGCCCCAGATACTTGCTATGAATATCCATGCCAAAACCCTGTGGGCTCTGAGCTGACTACTACAGCTAAGCTTATGCACACAGAAATGAAAAGTCAATCTTACCAGTGGTGGTGGTGGTGGTGGAGGGGGCCCTCCTGAAGGTGGTGGTGGAGGGGGCCCTCCAGAAGGTGGTGGTGGAGGTGGTGGAGGAGGAGGTGGCGGTGGCGGCGGGACAGGCATCTGCTCGGATTTCTAGCTTCACCCAGTTGTGAAAAATATTGCCAGTCTATGTCCTTGAGGAGAAGGAAGGGAGGAAAAGTGGAAGAATAAAAAGAAAAACAGAGAGCAATGTGTTTATACACTGCAAGCTGAAGATCAGCCAAAATATCTAGCTCTCAGCAGAGTGAAGACTTTTATACTGCACTGCTTCCAAAAGTACAGCACGAGCAGCCTCATTACAGTTATGATGACAACACACATCTAAAGAACAAGCTCACGGATCTGGACCAGTGCCATGAGTACCAAATGCATAGATGCTAGCCTGTCCAACTATTACATCTTGCCTTAACCTAGCCCATAGCCCTGAGATGCAATTCTGCAGAGAACAAATCACAGTTGACCACATGTAGACACTCCTGCTGGGACCAGACCTCAGTTGACTTTAAGCCAGAGGTTCGCTGCTCTAAGGAGAGAGTAAGGGACTTTTTAAGTACCTCATGATTTAATAATAAATAAATAATTCTGCAAATTAATGCTTCAATTACCAAATTATATAATATCAAGGACCAGACATCTCAAGTGTTAAAGTCAAGTGTTTTCTTGCCATTTTTAAATGTCAATTTTCACAATTCTTTAGTAATACACTGACAAAAAGGCACATATCTTCCAACAAAAGCTATATGCTTTTCTTTTTAAAAAAGATCTTTTGTAGAATGACAGTGCATCATTCACTGACTTTCATATTTAACCATGCCCTCAGCATGACTCAGTCATCATTAAAGTCAACAAGAAACCCCTGTATTTCATTAGTAAAGTTGCAAATGAAAGTACAGGCAGTGCCAAGGAGAGGCCTATGCAAGCTATGCTTGAAATCTTCTTTTGATAGCGACACTTGGATAAAGGCTCCAAACACATCTAGTTTTACATCTTGTTCTACATCCATGATGTTGTGATTATTTTCTGATAGTCTTCACAAAGTCATATGAAACAGTGTCAAAAGCCCTACAATAACACAAAATATGTAATATGCTTTGTCTTTTCTTTCTGCAAGGCTTTATCTTAACAAGAAATTACATTGGTTTCTCACATTTACTCTTTATACATCTCTCTAGGTCATAATTTGTTTCCCTGACTCCTGAAAGGTCTCAGAAACATTTTTCATATTTTAATGTTTTACTAGAAATTGATGTTAAGTTAAAAAGACCACAATTCCCAGAACCTGTTCCCCTTCCTTTTTAAAAACATGCTTTTACAGAATCATCTGTGTAGGGAGGAGGCATGGCAGTTAAAACTGGAAAAGTTCAGGAGAGAAGATAACATAGAAATGAGGCAAGTTAGAATCTTGAGTGGAATATCTGGCTGTTTTGCTAGAGGGTTAGTTCGGAAGAGTCAGTGAAATAAAAATGTATATGCAGACTTGTTCACTTCCTAGCCAGTGTACATGAACAATATCCCAATAATGTCGGAGTATTTTTCTCCTTTTCTATCTTGTAAAATACTTAATGAGAGATCAGTCAAAATTAAACATGCAGAGCCTCTGAAACACTCATTTTCTCCCTTGAAAGATTGCTATGCAAAGGGCTGGCTGATCAAAGCACCCTGATCTGTAACAGAATCAGTTACAATCACTTTAATAATCTCTTAATGAAGCTTTCCAAGAAAGCTGGCATCACAGCATCTCCATCATTCCCCCCTCATTGTTGCCCTATTCAAAAACCCATCATCAGAAGATACCTCTTTTCCTCAATTAAACCATTCAAAAACATGGACATAAGGAGAATGAGTCTTCCCAGCTAATAATATGTTTCGGGTTAATATCTTCCTACCCTGCAATACAGGCCTTTTGTCTTCATTAAGGATTTAGAATGGGAAATATGCTCTTAGTCAAATTAGGAAAAAAAAAATACAACCCACGCTCCTGTGGCAGACCACATGAATGGCAGCAGGAGGTAGAGCACATTGGAGGCAAGCAGCAGTGGGAGAAAGGAAATGGGAATCAGCTCCTGCTATTTAAAAGTCACAGTCTGAAATGCCATCAGATGACTTTTCTAGCTGCCTCTCCACCAGTCCCTGCCCCAGCACTTGTTCCTACAAATGATGCAGCCTAAATTCAAGGACTAGAAACTGTGTAGAAACTACAACCCAAAATTCAGAGAAGAGGAAGTTGTTCACCATGTATCCCACTCCCACATACTCCTGTCCAGTGGCATCAGGGCTAGATGCATCCTGTGAGGCTCTAACACATAGCCCTTGAATGAAATACTGGAGGCACCATATAGTTTTCCTCTAATGTCTTTTCAAACCCTCTACAAACGAACCACCTTTCAGAAAATCCTGCTGACATGCCTTCTTTAGTCTCTTACCACAAATTTGGAGGCTCAATGCCCTGACCTTGGCATGCTTTTGGTGCACATTAAAACTCATGGTTTTATACCAGAACTATTACAGGGTAATGCCTACACAATGAAGAACCATAGAGGCTTTGAATGGAGCACTGCCATCTCACAAGTAGACAGTGTATGCTGATAAAGACAGGAATCTTCAAGCTAATGTACAATAAAAAACAATTGGCTCTTAACATTTAGTCATGACTGCACAATCTACACTTTTTAATATGTAGGATTGGCTATGATTAACTCCTTTGTATTACTGCAGCAATATCACATGGACTGTATTGAAAGACAATTACGGAGAAGGCTGCAACATTTCAACACATTACTTGGAGGCCTCTGTTCCTTGGTTAAAGGCTGCATTTCATTTGCCTCTCCCCTCACTATATTATATATACATATATACTCAAACATGTACACATACATACATATATATATATATATATATATATATAACCATAAAACCCATGGTCAGTAATTTCACACAGTAACTTCAGAACATGCCGAGTTTATGGATTTCCACATAACAATCAAAATAAACTCTGAAGTAACACCAAAAAAAGGAGTATCATATTGATCAGTTGCAGTGTCTGGTAAGAGCCAGGTAAGAGGGAAATGCTACAAAGGATCCTTAAGGCACATGTGCCCTTTCTCCACTCCTCTAAATATGCATATCTATAATTGGAAGAGAGGGGTCTGAACTATCCCTGAGGGACAGAAATAAAAAGAGTTCAAAAGGCTGGCAAACTGGAGGGTAGAAGCCTATATGTTTTGTTTAACCTCAGTTTCCTAAGGCAAGAAGCAATGTAAATCTTACCTTGACTTAAATATCACAGAAGAGAATTGAGCCCAACAATTATAGAATTTATTGCAAACAAAAAAAAGAGAAGAAAATCCAAAACCCTGCCTTTTCTAGTCCACTTCCCTACCAAAGCAAGGTTGTACATTTTTTTCTAGTGCTTTCTGAAGTCTAATTTTAGGTGTCCCTAATAATGTGGCTTTTATTATTTCCCTTGGGAAGCTCTTTCCCAGTCAAATAACTCTTTTAGTTCAGATTGCCTGACACGCAGCCTAATTTCTCCTTCTCTAATTTGATCCCATTTGCACTCCACTGCAGATGACTCTACCTTGTTCCAAGCAAAATGGTTTCTCCTACTGCTCTGCATCAGCTTTGTGGAATATAAGCACTGTAATTCAAAAGTACAATTGCAAGGACTTGTTATACTTTTGGAGTTGTTTTACTTCTCACAAGGCAGTGAACTTTTCATCAGTCAGAGAACATTATTACTCTTCTCTGATCTCAAAACAATTGGCCTTTTTTTGTTCTGTTGGTAAGGATAATTTTGAACCTGGTAATTTCAGGTGTCACAGATTGTTCTTTGCGTGTTCTCACCGAATGTGCTTGAATAGCAGCTGGGTTAAAGAACAAGTCTGCAGTCATCAATGTAAGAACTCAAGCTCCAGATTTCTGAAGGCCCAAATAAAGCCTTCACCCAGAATTTAATCTGAAGTGTCAGACAAGACAGAGGAGGTGCAGATCTTTCTTCTTCATGAACTGCTCGCTCAATCTTGTGCTGGATTTGCCTGTGGGAAACTCAAAACCTCTGCCTAAGCTTTTCTGTAGCTTTGATCTCACTTTATTCAGCTACCAGACATGCACAAACTCTGATCCAAGCGCTTCCCAAAGGTCTCCTGAAGCATCACTGCCACAACCTCAGTGCAGGGCTCACACTAAAACAAAAGCCTGCTGGGAGCAGAAATCCACAGTAAGAAACAGTGGATTTTGGACAGCAGCTCACATGTCTCCTGCCACACTGACATTCAGCAGAACCACCACAGGTATGCCTGCAAAAACTATTCTAAAATGCCTTCACCCACCAAGGAAAGGGAAGGCACGAAACAGCTGTACCTTTAATTTAGTACAATGTCTAGAAGGGGAAAAGACAGGGGAAAAAAATCACAATTATTTAAATGTGCATAATATGCATTTATGTACTAAAATTACTCTAAATAGGGGTATTTTTTAAATGGCCAGTGTCCCTAGGTCTTTAGGTGGTATAGTCATTAACATGAAACCACAAGGTTGGAATTGAAAATCTGACCCTTATAACCAAATTGGAGAAAGGATTGCAAAATAACAGATTCATTACTACTGGATTTGCAATCACTGCAGCTGCACACCCTGAAGTAGGTAATTCACCTTTGGGGAAATGTACAGGTTTTCTTCCTTCAAAGGAAAAGCTGAGAGAGATATTTCAATGGTGTGCAGGAGAGCTTATCTATAGTATTTGTCTTGCTTTCTTGATTAAAAACTTAAGAAAAAGAGTAGACCACAACATGTTTTTACCTTTTAAACAACTTTTATATAATCAAGTATGATTTTCTGATAAACCGTACTGTTTTGAATTATAGCTTTTAAGCCTTTATATTTCAACAGAAAAGTCAAATAATTTCAAAATTACCTGTGAAAAAACAGCATCAATAAGCATCTGCTCAACTTTCATGATCTCAAAGTAGACAATTAGCATAATTGTTTAATTAGCAAATTGCTCATTTGCTCCTGTGAAACATCACTGAAGAATAGCTTAAATCACTGGTATGAGATCTCTACAGATCTTTTAAAGACAGTCA